ACATTCACCTGTGCCAGATTGATTTATCTAATAATCTATTTCGAAGCATTATGAATAATTTTTTGCTGTTTCAGTAATATATCTTAATGCTTACAAGACATTTTTTCATTATGTAGGATTCTCTTGCGTAACTTATCAACTGAAGACTCCGATCTTATTTCTACTGAAACAGATAGGATTCTTGCATCTATCGGATATGTTGATGGAGTAAAGACGTCACTAAATTTATCCCCAGATATTCAGTATATCACTCAAAGCATTATTGAACTAACCCAGCTTCCAGAAGAATGTGAGCGAAGTCGCAGGTTCCGACAAGATTTCCGTTCTGAGTGCCTTTTTACCATTGATCCAAAGACATCTCGTGACCTCGATGATGCCTTGCATATCCGGTGCCTAAGTGCCAAAGAATCCACTTTACTGGCGAACAAGGGCTATTTAGATGCTTCCTATGAGGTTAGGTATTTAGTTTTTCATCTAATACTATAGATAAATTAAAGTTGTAAATTGAGCATCTAAATTTTTATCATATACTCCCACTTTTGTGAACAAGAGATGAGTTGATCGCTACTATCATAGATACAATATATAATAAAGTGATTTTGAATGCTTTTAAATATAGTTATCTGAGGCCTACCTGAGTTATTGATATAAACCTTAAGACGCTTATTTTTAAAATATCAACGATTTATCTTTAACATCTTTATTCAATCGACTTTAATCATGAAGGGTTTTTGATTCGATGCTTCTCCCTCAGAGTTGTTCACAGTCTGGATTACGAATAGTTTGCAAAGATTACACACAGGCATATACTGCTCGGTAACTTTTTTAGGTGATTGTTATGTGGAGTATAAACAAGTTTGACGCCCATTTAAGATTCGTTGGTAGATTTCATTAAAAATACGTTGGTGGATTCATTTTGGCTTGCTGTAGCTTTATGACAACATTCTGGTTGACCCAGTCCTCAAAACAAGCTACTTCGATTCTGATCGGGTCGCTTTGTGCTCTACCCTTTAATACAAAAGCCAGCAAGTTACTATTCTTACAAGTAATTCAAGCTTGCGAATCGAAAAGACTCATTTATCTTCAATTGTTGCATACATACCTTAACGCTATGAATTTATTCTAGGTATCAATTAACTCGGTTAGCTCATCATATTTGCATGTCATGTATGTGACGTATACGTATATGCTTGCATACGTTCATGTG